GGCATTTAGAGAAATCGATCCAAACAACAGCTCTGAGACTGATGACATAATACAGATTAATGGAGTTAAAATTTTGCCTTAAGTAATGTTTTGAAATTAGGTGCCACGGCCAACATGTTTCTTAATTGACAGTCATTGGGCAGCATTCCATAATGTCTGTAGTTGTGTCTTAACTGAGCCGGCCGGGAACACTTCAAGTTACAGCCTCAAACTGTCTTACTGTGCTGCGTGCCATACCATAGTTGTCACAAAAGACTTGCTTTTATTACTTCAAGGAGCTTATAACTTTTCTTTTAAATTACCTTTTTGAGTTGCCATTTTTCTTACATATAATCCACCCTTAAGATTAAATTTAGATAAACCTTCAAAGTTAAAAAAAATTTAGGTAAAATTCAGAAAACAATTTATATACAGTATTTTTGTGAATAAAACAATTTATAAACAGTATTTTTGTGAATAAAACTTCTGAGATATTACAAAAGGGACTGTTTCAGTGCCTAGAGTTAGTGTCTCAACTAAGCATCTAATAAGGTGTTTTACTCTGTTTTCTGTTGCTATAACAAAATATTTGACTTCAGGGTATATCATAGAGAATAGTTTTATTCAGTCCATGTGTCTGGAGCCTGGGAGGTCCAAGGTCAAGGCTCTTCTTCTGACAAAGGCCTTTTTGAAATYGGAATTTTCTGTTAATTCCCAAAGCAGCAAAGGACATCAGTAAGAGGGGCCCATGCAAAAGACAAGAGTCAAATGGARCTTTTTATAATAGACACACACTTGAAATAACCTACCAACTCATTAATCTGTAAAGCTATGAATRCATTATTCCTTTCAGGAGAGCAGAGCTCTTGTGACCTCTTATAGATCCCACCAGGTCCCTCTTCATACTGCACAATGAGGGTTAAGTTTCAATTTGAGTTTTGATGGGGACAATCAGACTGTAGAATAGGGGCAGCACAGTTGTTGGGCTGGTTGGGGGTCTGTTGTCTTTGTGCCCAGTGTAGACAAATGTAGAGATGGTATTAGGTCTGAAGACCTGCAAGTTTTTAGGCAACGTGCCTTATATAACACCTATCCTCTAGGTCTGCTGGGCAGTGGTCTGTGAACCTGGCAGAGTTAAAGGAGTCTTATGGGTACTTTTAACAAACTCACATTCTCAACTCTACACACAGAGCATCTGAATCAGTAAAGGAGATGTGACATTGCTACAGAGCCTCACCTTCTAGCCCTGCAGCACCAGCCCACCCACCATATGCCATGCATAGAGCAGCATTTTAAACCACAGTATAATAATGTGGAGAAGTTGGGAGAAGAAAGAGATCACACGGAAGGTACAGCCAGAACTGAAGGATACAGTGGGGAGTGACTTAAGAAACCAAGGCTGAATAGGAACAATAACATYGATTCTACTCTGTCTCCCTTTATTTTATTCCACAGACTCCAAAGCCACTTACAGCCATAAGATACTCTTCTTTTTTTTTCATGTCTATCATGTGACTCTGTGTGTCTGTCTACATGTTGGGGAGTTTCCCTCTATCTTCTTTTGTTCATTTCTTTGTCATAGACACTTAAGTAGAAAGTAAGAATGATACACATGATAGAGAGATGTAGATTTCTGGTAAAGTGTAATGAGACTGAAAAAGAAAGACACTTAGGTGGAAACAAGACAAGAAAAAGCCCCGAGGAGCATATATTAAGTGGTTCCTTATGAATGGAGAATAACAGTATTATTTTCTTTCATCTTCTGAAGATGTCCTGACTACTGAGCACATTAATTTTTCAGTTTCCCAAGTGAATGGCTTTATTTATAAAGATGATAGTATCATCATTGAAAATGATTTTCCATCAAAAGTCCTATAAAGAAAATTCTCTGCTGTTCTTTCTGAAAGATTGCCATTCATTCAGCAGATATTAGCCTCACGGATTTTACACCCTGATGGGGAGACACATATACAGGCAGGTGCAATGCTGAGTTGTAGGTGATGCAGGAAAGGAGCTCTGAGGAAAAGGCTTCACCATTCTTGGGAAGTGATGGAGGAATTGGAAAGGAAGTGAGATCTCAAAGCCATATCCCAAAGGGTGGAAAGAGCTAACCAAGAGTGACCAAAGAATTGACTATGCTATGCCTTGGGGATGAGAAAGCAAGATCCCTTGTCTGGGAACTAAGAGTGGTCCTAAATGGCTCCACTGAAGTAGACAAGAAGAGATGAGGCTGAGAGCCAGATCACGAAGAATCTTACGCATTATCCAAAGAAGTTTGAAATGTATACTCCATTCCATATACAGTTTTCTTTTAGAGAGAGAGAGAGAGAGAGAGAGAGAGAGAGAGAATTTTTTAATATTTATTTTTTAGTTTTCAGTGGGCACAACATCTTTATTTTATTTTTATGTGGTGCTGAGGATCGAACCCAGCACCCCGCGCATGCCAGGCTAGTGCGTTACCACTTGAGCCACATCCCCARTCCAACAGTTTTTATATTTAACCTTCTTTTTTTTCTTTCTACCACAGACCTCACAAGTTAGAGGCATTACCATTCTGTTTTTCACAAGTAAACAGACACTTGGAGAAGTAGGCATGTGAGCAGAAACATAACTGGTGTCCAGGCTTGCTTGCAAGGTTGGCCCATGGCTGGATTTGGGGAACTTTAATAAGACACAATTCCCAATATGGATATAAAACTTTTCCAAACTGAGAAGGGTGGATTTCTATGTCTAGACTGTGCAAACAAGATGACATGCTAGAAATCTACTTTCCTTCTGTGTTCCCGGAACTTTGATACATCCTAAAGCAGAAGATGCCTAAAAAACTTTAGTAATTGAGTCTCTGGGGGTCTTTCCTAGACAGATACATCACACATATGTTGCTGTATTTTTCATAGTTGAGTGAAGAGTGTGTTCTGTGTGACCCTTCTTGAGAGGAAGACAACTTAAGAAAGCTGACATATGGATTCCTCCAGTCTCCATGTATTTTTTCCTCCCATGAACCTCTGCATATTCTTACTACAACTCTGTGATAAAGCTTARTCATGAATACAATTACATAATAAGAAACATGAGTCCTTCCAGGAGTCTTCTAACAAAGCAAGGACATCCAATATGCATGCTATGAATATTTACCTATCAACGTTTATAKAATGAGAAGATAAATTGAGCTTTCAAAAGGTAGAGGTATTATTCAGATATACACACAGGTATACACATATTCTGTAGGTATACACCAAAACTTGTGTGATCAGTTTGATCTCTTACCATATTTCTCAAATTCTCAAACACCACTTTGACTTACTTTTAACTCATCCCTTCAAATTATAGATATTTGCTAGCTTTAGGAGAATATAAAGAAGGAGCCACTCACTCTTAGGGTAATTTCCAATCAGGAGATCCAGAAAGGGCAGAACTCCAAGGTATTTTTTAAAATGAAGGTGAATCCATAAGAAATCCAAGGATTTCCCGGTTAGATGTGAGCAGTCCCTCTTAGGTAAGCCTTTGGGATCCTCTCCACCACGTTTGTCTTGCTCTGGTCCAAGGAAGAATTGTGAAAATGATGCATTTACTGGTCCCTGCTCTCTATTTGACTTTGGAGCCCTTCAAATCAGGAGGTCCAGAAAGGGTTTCAATAATGGCACAAGCCCTATGGATGCTTATAACATCCCAGGRAAGCTTTCTTCTTTTATAGGTGAAGAAAGAATTAATCGTACAGCTTCTGGTGCTCTAAAAGAAACCACGTTATTGTCGTGTGTCACTCTAATGCAGACGATTTTTCTGGTTACATTAAAAAATGCATTAGTGTTGATGAAGTAATAGCCATGGACTAGATTCTTTTATTAATTTATATTGGGAAAATTCTACTCCAGGCTTACTTTAAAAGAATTTCTCTTTAAACAATTAAAAGAAATTCTTGACCTTTTAATTGAACTTTGGATAGCGTCTGAAGGAACTTATATTCAATCAGGAAATCTTGGATTTCTTATGGCTTCATTTTCAAAAATACCTTGGAGTTCTGTCCTTTACTGAGAACTAGCAATGGGGTAACCGTATTGAGCAGTCCTTCTTAGGTGGGCCTTTTAGTTCCTTTTCATAGTCGTCTCACTCTGGTCCAAGGAAGAATTGTGAAGCAATGGGTTTACTGCTCCCCACTCTCTATGTGACCTGGAAGCCCTTCATGATAGCCAAGTTCGTCTGCAGTCTGGAAGTAGAGAGCATCACTTCCTAAGTGTGGCTGGGCTGGTTTTTATCTTTATTTCTTGTCTAACTGCTTGTTTGATGTCAGGTCTTGTGTAAGCAAAGAGGACTTACGGTCCGTAAGTGGACTTTGATACAGAAGTCCCTAGAGCTCGACTATGTGGTGATTTCCAGCAATGTGCAGCTTCTGAGGGAAGTTTTCTTCCTAGGCTCTTTGCACTGTTTCTGCTCCTACTTTGTTGCCTTCCATCTTTCACTTTTCTCTCTTCTCTTCTTTCACTGGTTGCATTGTCAGATGTCTCCCCTCAGCTGGTCATAAATGTTTATCTTCATACTTATTGCACTTGCAAAATGTAGTGTTGTGAGTCTTGCTCATAATTCTAAAAACAAATGAAGCATTTTACTGTATTTCCCTCTTTATAGCAGCTTAATAGAAATGCCCTTTATTCATGTGAGCCTAGATTCTTTCAGTCATGTTTGAACAGGGGATTGTTTTGTTTATTTGACTTCATTGTGTCCTTCTGGGTCAGTTGCGGCAAGGAAAGTATATTTCAATTGCTGATACGCCTACCTAGAACCAATTGAATGCCAGTAATAGTTGGGTTCTAACCAAAGTRTAGGTTATGTATGCAGGCCCTTGTGTTCAGGGGATTGATTAATGAAGCGAGTGTTGGGGGATTCATTGTTGCTTATGGCATTGTTAGTTTCAGAAGAAAAATTTCCTGAGGATTCTAGTAGTATAAAATCTGACTTTCTTAATTCTCAAAAAGAAATAGTTATTGTATTATGTACATTGTGGCCTTTTGTATTTTCCTTTCCAGTTTTCCAGAGAGATGGTCCTTCAGAGCCTACACATCTGTTCTATATTTTGACCCCTGGATGAGAATATTCATTCAAGCCAAAAGAGTTCAAACAAAACACCTATGTTATTGCCTCTACCAACCCAGGTAACTCAYCTTCCTTCAATTATATTCCTAGAGCTTTAATTTAGAAAATTGATATACTCCCCAAAATTGTCAAAGTGAGGGCACTAGCTTTGATAGTAAKATTTTTATTTTGTAAGCAAAATTAAAACTGCATTCAGGAAGAATCTCTTCAGCAAAGAGTTTTTGCTACAGAGTGCTCACATATGACAATATTTGTCAGTAATTGGAACACACTGAAGTGAGCATTCAAGGTTAGATAATCACCCCAAAGCAGGAAGTTGTTTTTCACTTCAGTGAATCTCATGTGCTTTTATTATGATTGGTTCCATCAAGAAATCACAGTTCTGGGCTGGGGATGTGGCTCAGGCGGTAGCGCGCTCGCCTGGCATGCGTGCGGCCCGGGTTCGATCCTCAGCACCACATACCAACAAAGATGTTGTGTCCGCCGAGAACTAAAAAATAAATATTAAAAATTCTCTCTCTCTCTCCTCTCTCACTCTCTCTTTAAAAAAAAAAAAAAAGAAATCACAGTTCACTTATAATTTCTCATATAATATATTTGAACCATTAAATAATATGTAGTTTGTGCTCACATAATGATGTTTTGTTCAATGATGGACTGCATGCATGATGGTGGCCCCATAAGATACATGCCCCATCAGGAAGCAATGATTGAATATATGTATTTACATATATTATACATATAGAATGAACATCTATTCATATACACTTTGTTTATTTATATTTAATTTACTTTTTTGTGTTTTAGTGTGAAAATTTTTAAATTTATATTTTTCTTACCAAAAAATATATTATCCAGCTATTCATTAAGTCAGAATGGTCATGTTTTGTGCAGTTATTCACTTATATGCCAAATAATTATAAAAAATCAGAGAGTCTGATCATCCTCAAAAGAAGAAATACAAATGGCTGACAAATGTATGAAAAATGTTAAATATCATTAGCAATTAGGGAGATGCAAATCAAAACCACACTGAGATTTTATCTCATATCAATGAGAACGGCCACCATCAAGAAAACAATAATAAATGCCAGAGAAAATATGAAGGAAAAGAAACACTTTTACGCTGTTGGTGGGACTATAAATTAGTACAACCACTATGGAAATCAATATGGAGGTTCATCAAAAGACAAGGCATGGAACCCCWTATGACCCAGCTATACCGCTCCTTGGTATCTATCCTAAAGAATTAAAGTCATCTTAACTACTGTGACACATTCATACCCATGTTGACAGCAGCACAATTCACAATAGCCAAACTGTGGAATCAGCCTGTTTCCATCAATGGATGAATGGATAAGGAAAATGTAGCATATAAACACAATGGAATTTTCTTCAACCATAAAAAATACAAAATTAAGTCATTTGCAGGAAAATGGATGGAACTAGAGACCATGATGTTAAGTGAAATAAGTCAAACTCAGAAAGTCAAGGGTTATATGTTTTCTCTCATGTGTGGAAGCTAGAGAGGAAAAAGAAAAAGAAAGGTGGGAGTGGATCAGTAGAGAAAAGGGACCAAGGTTGGAGTACGAGAGGGAAGGGAGAAGTGCTAGAGAGTGATAGTGGCCAGATTATATTGTTCTATTGTGTGCACGTATGAATATGTAACAACACATCCTATCATTATGTCAACTACAATGCACCAATAAAAATGTGGGGGAAAAAGAAAAAGAGAAAAAAATCTGTATGAGATTGTACTGTACAAAGCATAAAAAAGACAGGGTTAATTCTAATTCTAAGGAGTTTAATATCTACTGGGAGAGACATTTACTTGCACACTGTCTATATATGTGTCTTTGAACCTGTATTAGCCTTTGATTTCTTCAGTGATCGGATTGGTTTTCAATCACCATTTTAGACATCAAGACAAGAACTCAAATAATCTGGCTCCAGTTCTTTACCTTTCCAAATTTGATGCYCCTTTTCCTGTATCACATTCACTCTTTATAATAGACCAACATTTTTCATGTTGTCTTATTTTCATGAAAAAACATTTGCTGACCTGGAGCTTTGCAACCATTAGTGTAAGTATTAAAATAAAAAAAATAGACCTCTGTGTTTTCCTCATGACAAACAGTTTTACTGATTCCTCAACTGTTTTACTTTTTGTTTCTAATTATACCAAAGAYCATCTTTTGAAATTAAAGTATACACAGCTGAACTTTCCCTGTACATCCGTTTCTGTGTTCCCTAGCAAATATCAAAGCAATGTTTCCTTTCAGTCTCATTCTTCTGGAAGGTACCCAGGATTTCTTGGATCATTCAGGAGAGCTTATTTTTTCAAATTAATCATTCTTCTCTTAGAGGACATAGGTAAAAAATAGCTTAAACCAATAGAAAATGTGAATTTGTCTCTTTCCAAGGGAATTTTAGTAAACTGAGTTTCATCCAGCAAAATTACTTCCCTCAAGTGATAGGTGTTTCCAATTCTAGTATGTTTTTTATTCTCCTTTCAAAGTAATATTCTTAGATATACAGTACCATGAATAGAAACTATGATGTACATATATATGTATGTTTGTATGTATTTGTTTGTTTTCATAAAAGAAATTCAAAGAGGCTTAAATCTTTGCCAAGTTTTATTTAGAGTGCTGATGAACTGTTAAATCTGATATTTGTTATCTACCATGTAGAAAGATGTATTTTGTGACCTTATACCTTAGGGTTTGCCTCTCTATTTGAATGCCATCTTTACTTATATATAATTTCCCTCAGATTCTCTGGTGGCAGAAGTCTTGCATAAGAAATATGTGGAATTCCCTAATGGGACAACCCCTATTTTTTTCTTTTCTAAAAGACACTGTAGCTCCAATGTCTGCATTAAAATATATTAAGAGCTGGGATTGTCCCTGTTTGACCAAAGTAGAGGCATTTAAAGGGTATTAAAAAGTGATTGCTCTGTCTACTTGTCCATTTCTGGAAATGAAATGGGAAACCAAGGTTGCCCCTAAAAGAACTYTGTCATCCTGAAGTTTTATTTACAAGAATATGTGACTACTCTTCATGATCAATTATTCTTCTACACTTTTGGAACAAGCAGGAAAATGTCTGGATCCATATGGGTCTGTAGTTGCTTTAGCAGTAGCCCTCAAATATGCTTAACAAGTTCAGAGGAGGACTGGAGGGGAATTTCTGATGTCATGTCATTGGTTTCCTTCCTTGATCATATTCTGTTCAGTATTTTTATTAGTGACTTGGATAAAAAACAAATTTGTGTGCTTCTTGAATTTGTAGTTGACCCTGATCTAAGAGGAATGTCTTTTATCAGGTATAACAGAAAGAATATGTGCAAGAGTTGAAGTCCAATAGATATGTGTGATATAGACAATGTATAGATCAGAATTATTATGTGAGTGTAGATTTGACAATGATTTACATGAAAAATTGCATGCACACTTTAATTGACCACAAGGTCACTACTAGCTGATAGTGTTTCGGGTTGCTAAAACATGGTTTTGGAATACCAATAGGATAGTTAGAATACCAATCCACCGTGTTGTGCTTACACTATGTTTAGAGGGAGATGCCTAGACAGGAATCCTTCAAGAGGGACACAGACTTACTAAAAAGTTTCTAGCTCATAGGAAAGTAACTATCTGGTAAGAGAATAGCGATGGAACTGAGGCTTATCCATGGAAGCGAGAGAGTTTACAGCTGAGTGGAAACATGAAATGCTATCATGTGATAGCTGGAATTCCAGAAGGMAGAACTTGAAAGCTAAATGAAAGTAGAAGACAGTTACAAATGGCTCCTCATGGAGTGTTAGGCTGTTTTTACAAGGAAGAGTCAAATGGATTTCCTTTTTCCATTGGTGTTTAATTTAAAGATAGTCCTAGGAGTCATGTAGTAGGGAGTGTTAAAACTGCCTCACCGTCAACATTGACTCAGTGTTTCAATGCCTTTGATGTTCTGGAGAACAGAAATGATAGACCAGTGTTGCTCAGGATATATGTTAGTTCCACGGAYCTCTTTGCTGAGTATACGCAGCATTTGGTCCTCTCAGGGAGTTTTCAACCATAAAATTCAAAGCTTCCCCATTGGGTTGAATTTGGGGACCAGTCACTTGAGAAGGGCTTCCTTAGGTTGAGCATGAGTCCCTAGTCTATTTAGCAGATTAGGGATTCAACTACTAAATCTAGTGTGTCCAGTATAGCAGATTAATTTCTGTGGACACCCATGGCACAGGGTATAGCAACTCATAGAGGGCTATGAATGTAGCATGACATCAATGAAATGCCTCATGCCCTCCACACTAGAAGAAAGTCCCACCCAAAAAGAGCAGTAGAGATTTGTCTTTTGAGGGATCTAGATTGTGGAGGGAATTATTAGCTTAGGAAGAATTTTAGMAAGATGATTTCTAGCATCCCTTTTAACTTACAATTTTATAGACCTCTAATTCCTCTTTTATAAACCTCTACTTAAATAATACAGACAGGTTACTATATAGCCATGTTACTTACTGTTTAGGCAACAAGCATTACTAATTTTCTTTAAATTTGAGTTCTAGAAAGAAATAACTCTCAGATTTATATACACATTAAAGCTGTGCACATTAGGACTAAAGAAGGGAGTAAAATGGCCACCTGTGAAAGCTCTTCAAGGGAGACAGAGCCACAGTGTCTGCTTGAAGAACTCATTTGTCATTAGCATTGCTAATTTACTGTAGACCYACAACTTGGAAAGAAGCCCAATGAGATGGAATTGGCATCATCCTGCTTTCCTCAGAGTAGCACGGTCCTTTCCTCAGAGTAGCATGGTCCTTTCCAAGCCATTCAGGGATCTCTTGTGAATACTGTGCAACACTACCTTCTGGGACAGTCTTCATTTTTTTCAGTCTGTTCTCCACATGATCACAGCCTAACCACATAGACTAATAACTTGTGAAAAGTGTCTCTTACAAACTCTGTCTTATGTATCTGTTCAAGAATTTTTTTTCTTTTTTTTCTTTATTTATTTTACAATACAATTCTTAATACAAGAATTTTTACTGTGAATTAGG